GTGTATATGTGTTTTATTAATTATAAATAATTTTATTTTTAATATATATATTTGTATATATATGTGAATTTATATGTATATATTAATTTAAATACATGTAGATGAATATTTAGATATTTAATAATATTTTTGAATGCCGTGAAAGACAATTAATCGGTAGTTCGTTTTTTGAGTGTATCTTCGCAAGGTTGTTTTTGGGATGTGTAATGTACTCAAAAAGTTTGTATTTTGAATGTTTTGCTGTAAAAGACATTCTCAGGAAGTATGTATTTTGGATATTTTGAATATTTGAGACAAAATCAAGTTCACAGCTATATTTTTCCTTAACAAAGAGGGTAAAGTCTAATTAATACTTCATCCATCAATATAATCTGATACATCCTTAGTACAACATTCATCAACTTACTATAATGTCTAATAAATGCATCTTAGTACAACATATTAATCAAAACACATAATACATAGTCTGATACATTCTTAGTAAAACACATTCATCAACTTAGTACAACATTCATCAACTTACGCCAATGTCTGATCATGGAATTGGTTTGTGAAGAAATTGAAGACAGATTTATGTCTTGGTGAAGGATGTAGTGACCATAATATCCGATAAGCAAAAGGGATTGCTTAATGCTGTTTCCAATGAATTACCGCTTTGTGAGCACCGCATGTGTGCACGTCATACTTATGCCAATTTGAAGAGAAAATTCAAGGACATTCATGCTTACATGGAATACCCGTCAAATCCCACTTCCGACAAGGGCAACTCCGTGAAGAAAGATCCAATGAATAACTTATCCCTGACTCCATCACCTCATATTTCCCATACCCACTCGGTATTGGTATGCAAAAACGTGTGTCATTCTGATTTTTAGCTAACTCTTTCATAGCATGTGAAGTGAGGTATGTCTTACATACCTTGACCTCCCTTAATCTTTGTGCTATACATGTTTTTGCATTATGTCCAACCTGTTTGCATTGACTACACGTCATTTGTCTTCCATGTCGTGTAAGCTTTCCCCGATTTGATGGACTCATGAACAGATTTTATTCGGCTAAACTTCCTTGGTCGACCAGGCAACTTTCTCTTTTTGGGAACGCCTATTGGATCTTTCAGAGTTTTTACCCAAAATGGTTCTCCATTGACAGGCATTATATTCTGTTCATACAACAGTTCCAATCTTCTGCTCGAGAAATAGTCAGACACGTACTTTACAACATCCTCTCCTCGGTTATTGATAATACATAGTCCATGCTTACATGGAATACCCGTCAAATCCCACTTCCGACAAGGGCAACTCCGTGAAGAAAGATCCAATGAATAACTTATCCCTGACTCCATCACCTCATATTTCCCATACCCACTCGGTATTGGTATGCAAAAACGTGTGTCATTCTGATTTTTAGCTAACTCTTTCATAGCATGTGAAGTGAGGTATGTCTTACATACCTTGACCTCCCTTAATCTTTGTGCTATCCGTTGCATAGTTTGCCTCCGAATCATTTCGAGCATGTCAATCAAGGGACGTAGTCGAGCAGCTTTTATAGACATATTGAAACTCTCCGAAAAATTGTTGTTAACATCTTCGCAATGTGATTGCGTTCGGAAAAATGCCTTGCACCAATGTTTTGGGTCATTGGCAATTAAGACCTCAAATGCCGCTGGGTTTATGTCTTTTATCTCCTGCATATACCGCTCATAATCACCTTCATGGCAAACAAAAAGATACATGTATTAGTATACTGAAAAATGTACAAATGACAAAGGCAAACATTTAGAAACAAATTTACTAACCTTTATGATAGCTATTTGCAGCGTCCCAAAATAAGTTCTTCAATTCAATGTCCTTGAATTTTCTCTTCAAATTGGCATAAGTATGACGTGCACACATGCGGTGCTCACAAAGCGGTAATTCATTGGAAACAGCATTAAGCAATCCCTTTTGCTTATCGGATATTATGGTCACTACATCCTTCACCAAGACATAAATCTGTCTTCAATTTCTTCACAAACCAATTCCATGATCAGACATTGGAGTAAGTTGATGAATGTTGTACTAAGTTGATGAATGTGTTTTACTAAGAATGTATCAGACTATGTATTATGTGTTTTGATTAATATGTTGTACTAAGATGCATTTATTAGACATTATAGTAAGTTGATGAATGTTGTACTAAGGATGTATCAGATTATATTGATGGATGAAGTATTAATTAGACTTTACCCTCTTTGTTAAGGAAAAATATAGCTGTGAACTTGATTTTGTCTCAAATATTCAAAATATCCAAAATACATACTTCCTGAGAATGTCTTTTACAGCAAAACATTCAAAATACAAACTTTTTGAGTACATTACACATCCCAAAAACAACCTTGCGAAGATAAACACTCAAAAAACGAACTACCGATTAATTGTCTTTCACGGCAAAACATCCCAAAAAAAACAAACTGCTGATTACTTGTGTTTCATGTCAACACATCCAAAAAACATCAACCAGCATTCTTGACTACTTATCATTGTCATTGGTCCTCGTAACAATTGGTCTTGGTATAGCAAAAGGTCTCCCCCGTCCTCGCATAATCTGCATTTTAGTATAACCCCGTCGTCGTTGAACAGATGTGGATTGGACTCGAATGGGCTCAGATTGCACTGATTGCACGGTCTGACTTAATTATGTCGGTGCCGAAGAACCTACATATGAACGCACTTCATAATTAGTTACATGATTAAGCAAAAGACGAAGACAAATAGTAATACAAAAGTTTACAGAATTGCACCTTCAACCGAATGTGTGTGGCGGACTTCAGAATTAGTACCTCCAACTCGACGTTGTACGCGTCGTGGTGGTGCACTTGAACTTGCTTCTTCGACATCCTAACAGCAAGAAAGAAACAACATTAAGCTAAAACGTATTTACATGAACCAAAACAGGATTTGACAACGTACCTTCATTTTTTTTGGTCTTCCCCTTCCGCGCTTAGGACCATAATGTTGAACGGGTTCATTTCTACATGTTTTTGCATTATGTCCAACCTGTTTGCATTGACTACACGTCATTTGTCTTCCATGTCGTGTAAGCTTTCCCCGATTTGATGGACTCATGAACAGATTTTATTCGGCTAAACTTCCTTGGTCGACCAGGCAACTTTCTCTTTTTGGGAACGCCTATTGGATCTTTCAGAGTTTTTACCCAAAATGGTTCTCCATTGACAGGCATTATATTCTGTTCATACAACAGTTCCAATCTTCTGCTCGAGAAATAGTCAGACACGTACTTTACAACATCCTCTCCTCGGTTATTGATAATACATAGTCCATGCTTACATGGAATACCCGTCAAATCCCACTTCCGACAAG